TTTTTTTTTCTTCACAAATGCTCGTCACGTGGTATGCAACAGTATTTTTTCATCGACTTAATCAAATACAAAGATTTTTCACATTCGACTCTAATTATGGGTTATAATAAAATTCACACAATATTATTTAATATTATAAAATCAAGTGTATTCTTTATTCGATATCGATTATATATAATTATTCGTTTCTTAATATTATTGATCCTTTGTTTAGCGTCTGTTTATTTTTCATCAATACATTATTATTCATTCTATTGTACTAATCGATTTAAACAAGGTTTAATTGAAGCAAATCAACGTAATTTATGGAATGTAAAAGATGGTGTAGGAAATCGATTTATGCCAATATTAATACCAGTTTGTGATCGACCGCATTATTTAAAAAGAGTATTAGATGGTTTAATTAGAGTCGATGGAATAGATCAGGTAAAAGTGACTGATGGATGAAGCTTAATATTTAAAGATATTCGTAGATCACAGTTTTGAAAGGATGACATTTTTTAATGTATCGATTATTGAATTTATTTTTTATTATGAACGATACTTTCTAATTTATATTTTAATGTTTAGACACTTGTTGTTATTTCTCAAGATTGTGCACAATCATCCATTACATCTTTACTAACATCTCTTCCATCTTCAATTCGTACTTTAATTCTTCCACATACTCCTCCATATTTTTCTTTGCCACGTTATGTCGATACGAATGAATATGCTACATCTGCTAATATTAAATTTTTATTAGAATTTGCATTTGAACATATGTTAGCTGATGGTGCAATACTTCTTGAATCTGACCTTATACCATCTGTTGATTTTTATCGTTATCATCAATGGACTTATCAAAATCTATTAAATATTAATAATTCGAAAATACTTTCAATTCATTCTTTTAATCTTCAATCAACGAATTCATCTGATCCATATGCTCTTTTTCCTCGTGGATTCGATTCTTGGGGTTGGTCAACAGCAAAAACAAGATGGAGCTGGTTGAAAAGCCAATGGACAAAATACAATAATTGGGATAGTATTATAAGTCGAACAGCTACACAATATAAATGGATATGTTTACTACCAAAATTAAGTCGAACAAGAATGATTGGTTTGAAAGGTATTAATGTGAATGTTAAACTTGAAAAAGAAAAGAAACGATTTGAAGAAGAAATGTATATGAGTAATAAAACAATTGAATATCATGAAAAAACACCGAAAATTTTATCTTCTTAAACCTCAATAATGATTATGAAATGAACATCTAGTTAACATTCGCATTTAGTTGATGATTATGATCTCAAAGATTTATTAATCATTCAAGCAATTCTTAATGAAAATTTACTGGTGATATCAGAAGTTTTTCGGACTACTATTGATTTTAATAAAAGTGTTGTTTTATAAATGTACGAGTGATTGAGAAATTTTTAAATATGACTTCTCTTTTCTTAACCTGTTAAAATATAAATTTCGATGGATTTATTCCAACAAATAACAATTTTTATATTACGTCATGTTTATTTTCTTTTTGTTTGCCATTCTCTGTTTAGAAAATGAGTGATTCATAAAAAAACGAGAGAAAGAAAGAACATAAGACATTTTTTTATTACTTACTTTGTTGTCTGC